GGTTTAGGGTTTCATAAGGCCGTTATGGGGTGCTATACGCAGGTCTGAGAATGCATTCTAAGATTTCAAGATACTTAACCCTAAACCCTAAACCCTAAACCCTAAACCCTAAACCCTAAACCCTAAACCGATACTTATTGTCTTTTGACTGGAAGATTCCGGCTTGTCGGTGTTCGGGGCAGACGACTCAGGTTTCATTCTCCAGGCGCCCCTGAACCCAAAGACTCCAATACCCCTGAATTAAGGAATGTACCTTAAATCATATTAGGGATCCTACCATAATTTAAGGTATAGGGTTTAGGGTTTAGGGTTTAGGGTTTAGGGTTTAGGGCCTTATGGGCCTATTTCCAGCGATGTAGGGGCTCGCGCGCCTAGCAGTTACGACTTGAAGTGTTAGGTTTTGTACCAAACAACTTCTGCGGGCAGCTTGTGGCCGCAACATTCGAAATTAAGCTCTGTTTTTACGTTATGGCAAGCCACATGTTTAGATATACTTACAAAGGCACGCTGTCCTCAAGCATCATCAACCAGACGACAGACAAACCAACAAAGAAAAGCTGCGCAAGAAGGCCCAGCGGCCGGAGTTTGCTATCCTGAACAGAGGCAGACCACCCGAGGCATCCGTGGCGTCCGGAGAGTAGTCCACTTGGCCTCCCTTCCAAGTGGGCTGAATGCTCTCCACGCGCTGGGAGAAGGATCTTCGAGCCGGAGCCCGGAGCCAGCGCCCGGAGGTGGGGGAGAACCCGGCAAAGAGCATAATCTGGGCCGCCACGGCATTCCTGGGACTGTCTGGATGCACAAAAAAGTAGTGTCCGCAAGTCGGGAGGTTTCTATAAGGTTGCTAGAGGGGTTTCTGGGCTTCATGGCTCTATGAGAGCAAATTCAAAGGCTGCAAGTAGCTATGACTGTCAATAGTCTAGTTGCCTTACATATAGCCGGAACGTCAATCAATCTCATTTAGCAGCGATGGTAGGTTCAATCCTCTGCAATCTGCTGGCTTTAGGGTTTTAGGGCTTCGGGGCAGGATCCGCCGGCAGGCAATCCAGGGTTTCTAACTTCGGAGCTCAGGATTGCAAAATCATAATCAGGGCCGGTGACTCCCCAGCCGAACCCCGGAAACCTCAGCTCCGAGGCTTTCAGGTAGCATGCAGCATACCCCGTGGAGGACACTACAAGATGTATATTCAGACCTGTCCAGTCTGCGTATCTTTATACACATGTGTATTTACGTATGTGTATGCATATACATGAATATATATATATATATATATATGTATGAATATATACAGATAGATATAGACGGAGATATAGATATATAGATATATAGATATATAGATATATAGATATATAGATATATAGATAGATAGACAGATAAACAGATAGACAGATAGACAGATAGACAGATAGACAGATAGATAGATAGATAGATATGGATAGATAGGTAGATAGCTAGGTAGGTAGATAGGTAGGTAAATAGGTAGATAGGTAGATAGATAGATAGATAGAAAGATAGATAAATACAGAGACAGACATGGCTCGGTATGTATATGTGTGCGTGTCCATAAATATATACACCGTTACCGTTACAGACAAATGGATATGTAGGTAAGTGTGTTCCTGGCATGGCTTGGCATGGTCTGGCCTAGTTTGGCTTGGCTTGGTTTGGCTGTAAGCCAGCAGATGCTTCAACATACTACAGATAATTCTATAGTTGTGAATGTGTGTATATACATACGTGTGCGTATATATATATATATATATGTGTGTGTGTGTGTGTGCGTGCACATGTATATACAAATATGTGTAAACACATGAACCTATGGAACGATCCTGAAGGTGTCCCAGTGTCAGGAACATCTCTCGCGTCATGGAGCCCGGTGAGAAAGCATCCAAGTCGCTGGGCAAACTCCGGAGCCCGGGTTGCGCAGCCTCCAGGAGTGCGGACGAGGAGGCTCCTCCGGAAAGGGCTTGGTTTAGGGTTTTGGGCTTGGGGTTGTGCGGTTGAGGGGTTTAGGGTCGAGGGTGCGGTCAGGGTTGTGTTGGCTTTAGGGCGGAGGGTTGAACATTTGAGTTACGGAAACCACCTGTATTGCTTGCATAGGGCTTTTGGAAGGTTTGATCATGGGCTTCGGGAGTCGCTGGGCTGCCATAGCATCCAATTGCCCCCTTTCTGGGTTTTGGGGCCTCTGGAGTAACACATGGGATTTTTGGCGCGAAAATCGAAGAGACGAACAGAGTAGAACGGTGCAGAGAAAGAAGGTGAACGAAGCAGCTGACAGGCACGCAAACACCCCCAAAGCTCCTTGCGAGCTCGCGAAGCTTGTCTTCCACAGCGTCTTCGTGCAAGCCACCACACCCAGCATGACCAGGCCCAGAATCAACAGCAGCTTTCCCGCCTGACGTCTGGATGTGCGAGACCTCCAGGTTCAACAGCATCTGCTCGAATCTGCTTCTGAAGACTCGAAACCCTTAAACCCTGAACCCCTTACCATTCGAACTCCAAACCCTCAGCCCTTGTTGGGGTGTCGGTCGGTTGGATTCTAGTTGCAGATGAAATTTCAGCGAGTCTCAAAATAGAGGCGTCTGGGTTTAGGGTTTAGGGTTCTCCTCATTTAGCAGTCCCTTGGGGTTGTCGTATTTCTACCTGTGCTGAAACGCGATCATCAGGGCAATCAATGGCTAGCAAAACAAGAAGCAAAACGACTAGTAACACTACATCCAATAATGGTTGCAAAGAATACATTGAAACCTGTGCATGCGCGAGTGTACATATGTATCTTGTACATATGTATATATATATATATACATATATACATGTTTATATTTATGTAGATATGTGTATGTGTGTATATATATATATGTATGTATGTGTGTATCTACACATATATGTGTGTATGTGTATATGTATATATGTATTTATGTATGGATATTGTACACATATTTTATGTATGTGCCTGTTTCTATCTATGTCTATGTAAGTTTATATATATATAGATATATGTATCTATATGAATTTTTAGTGTATACATATACAAGCACACACATGTACCTACACATGCACGCTTTGTCTTCCCACCTTTCACCAACCTCAGACTCCGAGTCGGATTCCGGCGGCATCCCCGCGACAACTCGGAGTCTTCGGCGATGCGACGTGGCGCCGCCGAGGCGCCGGAAGACATGTCCCGGAACCCTTTATTCTAGAGGATCCTCTGCGAGGTCGGTCAAGTTCAGGAATATTTCAAGGGGCCACTTGGGGGATTATTTGTGGCAGTTATCAACAGAACACATGCATCTTCTTGATCACGCATCTTCTAAATCAGCTATCTTGACATCACCATCTGCAAAATATAACTACTTCGTAATGCAACTGCAAAACATGGACTACTAGTCCAAGCTGAACTTGAAACCAGCTCCGATCCAGACATGAACAGCTACGCAACAATGGTGAATCGCTTAAGCGGCATATTGTTGATTATATAGGTTCCACGGACGAGGGCTTACGGGGTAAGCTTGCTGACATTGGATGGAGGCGGAAAGTCAGAAAGAACGGCGCATGAGGCCTTCAGGTGTTTTTCTTTGCAGAAGCAATGCAGAGACCAGGAATGTTGCAATTTGAGTCCATTCCACAAAAAAACAAACTAAAAATTACAAGAAAAAACCCAGTCAACTTGGGTTTCCTATTTCCACAATTTTGAACAAGGCGTGTCTGACCGAAAGCCGAAACATCCAGCCAGTACAATCACATTGTCCTTACCAGTAACTTTCCGTACGCCTGCAACACAGTTTTCAACGTCTTAAACGAAAAAAAAATCTTTGGCGCGAACGCGCTTGTTCACAATTGTAGAAATAGGTTGCAATCCATATGCCAGATTCGCACAGGACTGTGGGGCTTGGTCTCATTTGAGCCAACCTCGCGGTTTTTTTTTTGGAAATAACGCGTATTGCAACGTTTCTGAACACTTGCGAGGCACGTGCCAGCCCATCTCGTGCATGAAATTGGGAGTTAAGCACGTTGCATAACACCCACACCTCTCGTCCACAAACTTCAAGCCTTCACCGCTCCCTCCTTTTTGGGTCTTGAAGGGAAATTTGGACGACATCAAACATGGAA